CCACACCCAGTCCTCCTGGGGGGGGCAGACAGGCAGCTGATGCTCCCCACTCGGCTCAGGCCTCTTGCTGTTCCACCTTGCAGAGTGCACTGAGCCACTTCTTGGGGTGATGGGCACCTCATAACCCCAGAGTGGGCCCGGGTAGCTGGCTAGCGGGCGGCCTGGCCGGGCAGTGCTGCTGCTGTGGCATAGAGCAGTGGCCCAGGGGTGCAGGCTCCGTGTCAGGGCCGGCCATTCCCCAGGAGTCTCTTCAGGGGCCATCAGACATGCAGCCCAGTCTGGGCTCAGATGGTCACAGGGAGCAGAAGGGGGCGAGTGTGTTGGCTTGGTCTCCCCATTTGTGAGGCAGCCCCTCGTGGCGCTGCACTGAGGGCTGGTGGCAAAGCTAGACTTGTGTGCCCACTTGGCTCGAAGCCCTGTCAGGGGGTCCTCTGCTCTGGGCTCGTCTGGCCACTGCTTGAGGCAGCAGCTAGGCCTGAAGGAGGGGCTACTCCGCTGCCTTCAAAGACCAGGGTGAGGTTGACCTGCCTGTCTGTTCCTGCCATGGGGTTGATGGTCTGGGAGCAGGTTAAGTGTTTTGCCTGTTGGCTCCTGTTATAGCCGTGGGTCCCCTAGGGAGGCACAGCACTGTACACGCACGCACGCACGCACGCGCGCGCGGCGGGACAGTAGGTCTAGGCCTGTTAGGTGCTGGGAAGTCACCCCTACCTGCCTCCAGGGAGTAAGGAACAGCCAGCTCTGTACCTGTCCTGGCCCTGTCTGGCGGAGGGAGTGGAACTGACCCTCAGGGCTCACCTCTCTGGGGTCTTTGGCCGGGGGCACCGCTTGGCTCTTGCCCGCCCTCTGCCTTCCCGGGCAACCCTGCTGGGCCCAGGCCTGGCTGCCTGACAGCATCTCTCCTGCCTGCAGCAGGTCAACGGCCAGCCCGGAGGGGGGTCGGAGCCAGCGGCGGCAGTGGTGGCAGCTGGAGACAAGTGGAAGCCTCCGCAGGTACCGACCCGCCCCGGGCCAGGCGAGGGCCTCGGCTGGGGGCCCAGAGGCCTGTGCATTGGAGGGCCCCCCAATGTGCACTGTCACATTGTGCCTTGTCCGGCCTCTGTAGGAGGGCGGGGCGGGGCAGAGCCCTGTGAGACCAGCTTGGGCCAGCCCCCAGGACCTGCTATTGTTTGCGCTGGGGGCTCTTTTTTGGGGTGGGGGTGGGGATGCTGACAAGGTGGCTGGAGGCCTGTGGAGCTGGCCCTCCCTGGGGGCTGGGGGTGTGCTTGGCTCTGGGCAGTGGCCACAGAGAGGAGGGTGCTGCTCGGTCTGCCTGTTCTGGGCTGTTGGTTGGGGGAGAAGGGCTTTTTGTTTATCAAGACAAAGAGGGCATTGAAAGTTTCTAGGGGGCTGAGGGTTAGCACTGATTGCCATGGCGACGGTGGGCTCCAGGGTCCCAGCTTCTCCTCTTGGGGCCCCTCCCACGCAGCTCCCTGGACTCCAGCCAGGGGGGGCAGGAACAGATGGGCCTGACCCCAGAATCTGCTGGGAGCTCTGCCCTTTGATCTTGAGCCCTAGTCCTGGCTTGCTGGGCTGACTAGTGGCTTCCTGAGCCAGGGTCCCATGCTCTCCCCTCCCCCAAGTCTTTGAGTTCCCTGCCAGTTGCCTTGTATTCCTCCCCAAACCCAGGCCAGTCGCGCCCCCCCCTCCTTTATTCACTCAGGTACCCTTTCTCACGTCCCCTGCTTCTCACCCCAGTGGCCATTCCCAGACTGACCCGAGTGACCTGGGAGACCTAACTAGTACGCCAGGTCAGCAACTTGCAGCTTCCTCTCAGACAGGGTGGTTGGGCATCCAGGGCTACAGGCATTCTGGGAGTAGGAGGGTCACAGGTGGTACTGAGCAGCACTGCGAGCTGGTCCCGCTGCTGGCCCGAGGCCTCCTGGTCAAGCTTAGTCCACATCCTCTCTGGGAGGTTGGCGAGGGGTGCCTAAAGACATTCTTTCCCCAACCTCTAGGGCCCTGATGCCATCAAGCTGGAGAATGGGCAGAGCACAGCCTCGAAGCTGGGGCTGCCCCCCCTGACGCCCGAGCAGCAGGAGGCCCTCCAGAAGGTGAGCAGAGGGGCCACAGGCTGAGGGGGTGGGGGTGCAGGAGTGTGGGGAAGGCTGTGCCCTGCCAGGCCGGCCCCTAGTGCCCCTCACCGGCGTCTCTCGCAGGCCAAGAAGTACGCCATGGAGCAGAGCATCAAGAGTGTGCTGGTCAAGCAGACCATCGCCCACCAGCAGCAGCAGCTCACCAACCTACAGGTGAGCCGCGCCGCCGCCTGCTCCTCTGCCTGCTCGCCACTGTCGCCTGAGCCCCCACCCGGCCCCCAGCCTCGGTGCAGCTGCCCTGGGCCGCGTGTAAGAGCGCTTGGGCCCCCCCACACAGTGGGGCCGGCTACTCAAAGCCTAGCCCAGGTGGGGGGCAGTCTGCAAGCCCCCCAGCAGGGCTGTAGGCCCTGGGGGGCGCGGCCAGCAGGTCCTGGGCCTCGAGCCCCGCCCGCCCTCAGATGTGCAAGCTGCCAGGAGGTGCCCTGCCTCTTCACCGTCGCCTCCCCCCACCCCCCTCTGCCCAACCGCCCTCCCTCCCTCCTACCCGCTCCCTTCCTTTTTGGTCTCGGCCGGCAGGCCAGGCTGCAGGGCTGGGCAGTGGGGCTCTACGGCCCCCCTGGGCAGGCGCCGGCCCACAGCCAGCAGTGTGGGCAGGCAGGCGGCCTGGCTGCAGGGCGGGGACCGGGCCTGCCGCTGTCTGCGTGAGTGCTGACGAGAGGGGGCTGCTCGGCGCCAACAGACTCAACTCTGTCTTTACTGTCTTTCAGATGGCAGCAGTGACAATGGGCTTTGGAGATCCTCTCTCGCCTTTGCAATCGGTCAATAGACTTGCTCACTTCTTCTGGGCTCATGTCCTTAGTCAGGGCTAGAGGGGGGCGTGCAGCCCACAAGCCGGGGCCTCGCTGCCCGCCCGCTCTGGACGAGCGCAGCAGAGTGCCCGGTGTGGCAGGCCAGAGTGCGGGCACCCCGGGACTCCCGGGCAGGCTGCCCCTCCTCTGAGGGCCCGCCTTAAGGTTGACCGGCCAGGTAACTGTGGAGGGCCACGCGAGGCAGCCGGTCCGGGAGGGCAGCTGCAGGCCCACGCACACGGCCGTTCCCCCCCCCATCACCCCCGGCCTGCTGCTCAGGCTGGAGACAGGCCTCGAGGACAGGGGTCCACACTGACGGCCCCTCAGACCCTGGTGGTGGGATGGCTGGGTGGGGGCTGGGATCCTGAGTCAGCAAGAGGGAAGGCCCTGGGTCTGGGCCACGACCAAGCCCAGCTAGCAGGAGCAGGCAGCCGGCGGGAGTGGGGGAGGACCCAGCCTGCACCTGGTCAAGGGGCCCTATGGGAGGAGGAGGCTGATGGCAGGCAGACCCGCCCCATACCTGGGCATGTTGCTCTCGGGGAGGCAGGCCAGCATCTAGTGTGGGCAGCATCCGGGGAGTCTTGAGAGAATCACCTTGCCCACTGCCATCAGAAGTCCCCCTCTCGAGGGGTTCTGTTGCTCTCTGGGGAGCCCTCACTGGTGGCCACCTGGACGTGTGGCGGTGAAATTGGTGGTTGAGGGTCTCGGGCCACACAGATAAACTGGGGGGGGCGGGGGGGCGGACCTCCCACTTTGCAAGTTCCTGGTCTGAGGATAGACATGCCTCCTTGGGGAGTCTCCTGGAGGGCAGTGTGAGCCCTGCTTTGGGGGGAGAATCGGGCCTAGATTGAGGCCCTGCCCTGACTGCTTGGCCCACATTGGGCCGGCTAGTGTGGTGCAGAGCACGGTGGGCCTTGGCATGGGAGCCTCGACTGTATGGGGGCAGGGCATTAGGCCTTTGCAGTCTCCCTCCAGGGGCGTGCTCTGGGCAAGGTCCTCCTGGGTGGCCTGCCACCCGTGGCCCTGCCCGGCCTGTCTTCTGTGAGGTGGCAAGGGCAATGTCCCTCAGTGCACTGACCATGTATAGTGACCCTGCCCTGGGTCTGCCCGGCCTCCTCCCTGGTCCTTGGGGCCTGTGGGCTCCACTTTGGGGTCTCTGGAGCCTTGGTTTCTTGTGGGGGCCAGACCCACCTGACTGTGAGGGGGTCTCAGGCATGGGGAGGCCATCAGGTGCTGAGCCCTGCCAACTGCATGAGCAGCTACTGCCCCTCTAGGGCACCTGCCCCTCCACTCCTGCCAATCTGGGCGCATCTGCCCGTCTTCTGCCCGCTTGCCCTCTGTCCTCCAGCCTGGCGGCTCCTCCCTCCCTCCGCAGCTGCCGGAGGGAGCCCTGACCCAGGCAGAAGGCGCGGCCCTGCCCCCAGCTGTGGGCCTTGTAGTCTGGTGGACTGGTGCACTGGCCAGCCTGCTAAGTGGGGTCCCGCCGACCCCAGCCCTTTGCAGGTGCCGAGTCTGTGTGGCCGTAGGCGGGCGGGCCCAGTGGGGAGCGGCTTCCCAGCCCTCATTGCCCCTGATGAGCCAGCGGCTGTCCCTCCTTGTGTCCCGCTGCAGATGGCGGCGCAGCGACAGCGGGCCCTGGCCATCATGTGCCGCGTCTACGTGGGCTCCATCTACTACGAACTGGGAGAGGACACCATCCGCCAGGCCTTTGCGCCCTTTGGCCCCATCAAGAGCATCGACATGTCCTGGGACTCGGTCACCATGAAGCACAAGGTGAGCAGGGCACGTACTGCCCCCGGCCCCCAGCTCTTTGTCTCTTCTTAACGAACACCCCCTGCGGCTTCCCCAGGGCTTTGCTTTTGTGGAGTACGAGGTCCCTGAAGCTGCGCAGCTGGCCCTCGAACAGATGAACTCAGTCATGCTGGGCGGCAGGAACATCAAGGTGAGTAAGCGCCCAGCTCCTGGGAGGGCTCTGCCCCAATGCCCTCACAAACGCAGAGCCCCTCCTCTCCCTAGGTGGGCAGGCCCAGCAACATCGGGCAGGCCCAGCCCATCATCGACCAGCTGGCTGAGGAGGCGCGGGCCTTCAACCGCATCTATGTGGCCTCTGTGCACCAGGACCTCTCGGATGACGACATTAAGAGCGTGTTCGAGGCCTTTGGCAAGATCAAGTCGTGCACACTGGCCCGGGACCCCACCACCGGCAAGCACAAGGGCTATGGCTTCATCGGTGAGTGTGGGGCTGCAGTGGGCAGCGCTGGGGGTGGGGCCAGGTGGGACACCCAGCTCACTGTTCCCCTGCCTGCAGAGTACGAGAAGGCCCAGTCCTCCCAGGACGCTGTCTCATCTATGAACCTCTTTGACCTGGGGGGCCAGTACTTGCGGGTGGGCAAGGCTGTCACCCCCCCCATGCCCCTGCTCACGCCAGCCACACCAGGAGGCCTCCCACCTGCTGCTGCTGTGGCAGCCGCAGCGGCCACAGCCAAGATAACTGCACAGGTGAGGCTTCTTGCCACCGGGGGTTGGGGGTGAGGTGGGTCTGATGGAGGGCAGGCAAGTCCTGGTGCTTTGGGGACTCAGCCTGGTGACTTTGGAGTTGCAGGAAGCAGTGGCTGGAGCGGCGGTGCTGGGCACCCTGGCCACACCGGGATTAGTGTCACCTGCTCTGACTTTGGCCCAGCCCCTGGGTGCTCTGCCTCAGGCTGTCATGGCTGCCCAGGCCCCTGGCGTCATCACAGGTTTGTGAGCAGAGGCCCTGCCCCACCCCTTCTGGCCGGCACCTGGGGCTCCTCCCATCATCCTCACCCCTCTTCTGGGGCCGGATGGGGAGGGGGTGACTGCTGGATTTGATTGGTTGTACTGCAGGTGTGACCCCAGCCCGCCCCCCCATCCCGGTCACCATCCCCTCTGTGGGGGTAGTGAACCCCATCCTGGCCAGTCCCCCTGCGCTGGGTCTCCTGGAACCCAAGAAGGAAAAGGAGGAGGACGAGCTCTTCCCCGAGTCCGAGCGGCCCGAGATGCTGAGCGAGCAGGAGCACATGAGCATCTCCGGCAGCAGTGCCCGCCACATGGTCATGCAGAAGCTGCTCCGCAAGCAGGAGGTGGGCGTTGGGGCCGGGCGCACGGGCGTGGCTGCTCACCCTCGGGCCACCGCACTCAGCTCTCCTCTCCCCCGCAGTCCACAGTGATGGTCCTTCGCAACATGGTGGACCCCAAGGACATTGACGACGACCTGGAGGGGGAGGTCACGGAAGAGTGCGGCAAGTTCGGGGCCGTCAACCGCGTCATCATCTACCAAGAGAAGCAGGGCGAGGAGGAGGACGCGGAGATCATTGTGAAGATCTTCGTGGAGTTTTCCATGGCTGCCGAGACCCACAAGGCCATCCAGGCCCTCAACGGGCGCTGGTTCGCTGGCCGCAAGGTGGTGGCTGAAGTGTACGACCAAGAGCGTTTTGACAACAGTGACCTCTCGGCGTGACCTCAGCCCCTCCTGGACTTGTGCCCCTGTCTGTCTCCTCTGCGTTTTCTAGAATACTCTGCCGTGGGCCAAGCTCCCTGTGCCCCACCTGCCTGGGCCCCGGGCAGATAAAAGTGCAGCTGCTGCTGGTCTGCCTTGTGTGTCTGACATCAGTCTTGTGACCTTGTGTGTGCGCGTGCCCACGTGGGCAGAGGGGGGTGTTGGAGCCTGCTGAGCAAGGATCCCCATAGGGCTGGGTGCTGATTCCTGCTTTTGCAGAGGCCAGTAGGGAGTCTTGGGGGTCCTGAGAATTGGAAGGATTCCTTGTCTGCAGGACCAACTGGGTCTGCCCCAGTTGGTGCTGGTGGGTGGCATAATGGGCTTGCAGTCCCATCCAGGAGGGGTAGGGGGTGAGCCAGACCCCAAGTAAGGAACTAGCTAGGTTGTAGACCCAGGTCGCTACTGCTGCTGTCTTGAGCCCCCACTTCCCAGGCGTCCACATAAGGCTTAGGGAGGCCAGGCTACCTGCAGGTGGTATACGTATGCCGCTTGGTGAATCCTGGGTTGACTACAACTCCCGTGGTTCCTTCTGCCGGAGGCGGGAGCAGAGCTCCCGGCACGCCTCGCGCGGCCGCCTTCGCAGTGCTTTCTGGGGCTTGCAGTCTCCGCGGTGCA